TTCCAGTTCTGTGAAGAAGATCATTGGTAGCTTGATAGGGATAGCATTGAATCTATAAATTACTTTGGACAGTATGGCCTTTTTCACAATATTGATTCTTCCTAACCACGAGCATGGAATGTTTTTCCATCTGTTTGTGTCCTCTCTTATTTCCTTGAGCAGTGGTTTGTAGTTCTCCTTGAAGAGGTTATTTACATCCTTTGTTAGTTGTATTCCTAGGTATTTTATTCTCTTTGTAGCAATTGTGAGTGGGAGATTGCTCTTGATTTAGCTCTCTGTTAGTCTGTTATTGGTGTTTAGGAATGTTTGTGATTTCTGCACATTGATTTGTATCCTGAGAGTTTGCTGAAGTTGCTTATCAGTTTAAGGAGATTCTAGGCTGAAACGATGGGGTCTTCTAAATATACAATCATGTCGTCTGCAAAACGGGACAATTTGACTTTCTTCTTTCCTAATTGAATACCCTTTATTTCTTTGTCTTGCCTGATTGCTCTGGCTAGAACTTCCAATACTATATTTAATAAGAGTATTGAAAGAGGGCATCCTTGCCTAGTGCCAGATTTCAAAGGGAATGCTTCCAGGTTTTGCCCGTTCAGTATGATATTGGCTATGGGATTGTCATAAATAGCTTTTATTATTTTGAGATACATTCCATCGATACTTAGTTTATTGAGAGTTTTTAGCATAAAGGGCTGTTGAATTTTGTCAAAAACCTTGTCTGCATCTATTGAGATAATCATGTGGTTTTTGTCTTTGGTTCTGTTTATGTGGTGGATTATGTTTATAGACTTGTGTATGTTGAACCAGACTTGTATCCCCGGGATGAAGCCTACTTGATTGTGATGGATAGATAAGCTTTTTGATGTGCTGTTGCAATTGGTTTGCCAGTATTTTATTGAAGATTTTTGCATCTATGCTCATCATGGATATTGGCCTGAAGTTTTCTTTTTTGGTTGAGTCTCTACTGAGTTTTGGTATCAGAATGATGTTGGTCTCACAGAATGATTTGGGAAGGCTTCCCTCTTTTTGTATTGTCTGAAATAGTTTCAGAAGGCGTGGTACCAGCTCCTCTTTGTACGTCTGGTAGAATCCGGCTGTGAAAGCTTCTGGACCTGGACTTTTTTTGCTTGGTAGGCTATTAATTGCTGCCTCAACTTCAGCTTTTATTATTGGTCTATTCACGGTTTCAACTTCTTCCTGGTTTAGGCTTGGGAGGGTGCAAGTGTTCAGGAATTTATCCACTTCTTCCAGGTTTACTGGCTTATGTGTATAGAGTTATTTGTAGTAATCGCTGATGGTGGTTTGTATTTCTGTGGAATCAGTGTTGCCATCCCCTTTATCAATTTTGATTGCATCTATTTGATTCTTCTCTTTTCTTTTTTATTAATCTGGCTAGCAGTCTCTCTATTTTGTTGATCTTTTGCAAAACCAGATCCTGGATTTATGGATTTTTTGAAGGGTTTTTTGTGTCTCTATCTCCTTCAGTTCTGCTCTGATCTTAGTTATTTCTTGTCTTCTGCTAGCTTTTCAGTTTTTTTTTTTTTTTATCTTACTCCTGTAGCTTTTTCAATTTTGATGATAGAGTGTTGACTTTAGATCATTCCTGGTTTCTCATGTGGGCATTTGTTGCTAAAAATTTCCCTCTAGACATTACTTTAAATGTGTGTGTCTTTGTTCTTGTTGGTTTAGAAGAACATCTTTATTTCTGCCTTCATTTCATTGTTTATCCAGTCAATATTCAGAAGCCAGTTGTTCAGTTTTCATGAGGCTGTGCAGTTCTGAGTTAGTTTCTTAATTCTGAGTTCTAATTTGATTGCACTGTTGTCTGAGTGATTGTTTGTTATGATTTCCGTTCTCTTGCATTTGCTGAGGAGTGATTTACTTCCAATTATGTGGTCAATTTTAGAGTAGGTGTGATGTGGTTCTGAGAAGAATGTATATTCTTTCAATTTGGGGTAGAGAGTTCTGTAGATGTCTATTAGGTTTGCTTGGTCCAGATCTGAGTTCAAGTCCTGGATAATCTTGTTAATTTTCTGTCTCATTGATCTGTCTGATATTGACAATGGAGTGTTAAAGTCTCCCACTATTATAGTGCAGGAGTCTAAGTCTCTTTGTAGGTCATTAAGAACTTGCCTTATGTATATGGATGCTCCTGTATTGGGTGCATGTATATTTAGGATAGATAGTTCTTCTTGTTGCATTGATCGTTTTACCATTATGTAATGGACTTCTTTCTCTTTTGATCTATGTTGGTTTAAAGTCCATTTTATCAGAGACTAGGATTACAACTCCTGCCTTTTTTTGCTCTCTATTTGCTTGATAAACCTTCCTCCATCCCTTTATTTTGGGCCTATATGTGTCTTTCCATATGAAATAGGTTTTCTGAATACAGCACACAGATTGAGTCTTGACTCTGTATGCAATTTGCTAGTCTATGTCTTTTCATTGGGGCATTTAGCCCATTTACATTTAAGGTTAATATTGTTATGTGTGAATTTCATCCTGCCATTTTGATGTTAGCTGTTTCTTTTGCCTGTTAGTTGATGCAGTTTCTTCATTGCGTCGATAGTCTTTACCATTTTGTACGTTTTTGGAGTGGCTGGTACTGGATTTTCCTTTCCATGTTTAGTACTTCTTTCAAAGCTCTTGTAAGGCAGGCCTGGTGGTGACAAAATCTCTCAGCCATTGTTTGTCTGTAAAGGATTTTATTTCTCCTTCAATTATGAAGCTTAATTTGGCTGGATATGAAATTCTAGGTTGAAAGTTCTTTTCTTTAAGGATGTTGAATATTGGCCCTACTCTCTTCTGGCTTGTAGGGTTTCTGCCAAGAAATCTACTGTGAGTCTGATGGGCTTCCCTTTGTGGGTAACCCAACTTTTCTCTCTGGCTGCCCTTAGCATTTTTTCCTTCATTTCAACCCTGGTAAATCAGACGGTTATGTGCCTTGGGGTTGCTCTTCTCAAGGAATACCTATATGGTGGTCTCTGTATTTCCTGGACTTGAATAATGGCCTGCCTTGCCAGATTGGGGAAGTTCTCCTGGATAATATCCTGAAGAGGGTTTTCAAGCCTGGATTCATTCTCCCCATCACATTCATATACACCTATGAAATGTAGATTAGGTCTTTTCACATAATCCCATATATCTTGGAGGCTTTGTTTACTTCTTTTCACTCTTTTTTCTCTAATCTTGCCTTCTGTTTTTATTTCATTGAGTTGATCTTCAATCTCTGATATCCCTTCTTCTGCTTTGTCGATTTGGCTATGGAAACTTGTGTGTGCTTCACGAAGTTCTTGTGCTGTGTTTTTCAGCTCCATTAAATCATTTATATTCTTCTCTAAGCTGATTCTTCTGATTAGCATTTCATCTAAAAATTTTTCAAGGTTTTTAGTTTCTTTGCATTGGGTTAGAACATGTTCTTTTAGCTTAGAGAAGTTTGTTATTACCCACCTTCTGAAGCCTGCTTCTGTCAAATCATCAGACTCAATCTCCATCCAGCTTTGTTCAATTGCTGGTGAGGAGTCATGATCCCTTGGAGGAGGAGAGGTGTTCTGGTTTTTGGTGTTTTCATCCTTTCTGCACTGTTTTCTTCCCATCTTCATGGATTTATCTACATGTGGTCTTTGTAGTTGGTGACTTTCAGATGAGATCTCTGAGTAGACATCCCTTTTGTTGATGTCATAGCTATTTCTTTCTGTGTTTTAGTTTTCCTTCTAACAGTAAGGCCCCTCTGCTGCAGGACTGCTGGAGGTCCACTCCAGATCCTGCTTGCCTGAGAATCACCCACAGGGGCTGCGGAACAGTAAGGATTGCTGCCAGTTTCTTCTTCTGTTATCTTTGACCCAGAAGGGTACCTGCCAGACGTCAGTCAGAGCTCTCCTTTATGAGATGCCTCTGGATCTATGGGGGTTGGAGAGCCACTTGAAAAAAATAGTCTGTCCCTTATCAGAGCTCAAGTGCTGTACTGGGAGCTCCATTGTTCCATTCACAGCTGCTGGGCAGGTAGTTTAAGTCTGCTGCAGTGGAACTCATAACCACCTCTTTTCCCAGGTGCTCTGTCCTGGGAAGGTGGGGCTTTATTTATAAGTTCCTGATGTGCTGCTGCCTTTTTTCAGAGATGCCCTGACCAGCAAAGAGGTAGCCTAATCACAGTCTTCCAGCAGAGGCATTGTTGAGCTGCCACAGGCTCTTCCCAGTTGCTGTGTGAATTTCCTTGTGGTTTTGTTTACAGAGGTACAGTTAGAACTGCCTCAGTAATGGCAGACTGCCTTGGTAATTGGAGACTGCCTCAGTAGTGGTAGACTGCCTCAGTAATTGCAGATGCCCTTCCCTCAAAAGAGCTGGACTGTCCCAGGTCCAGTTGAACTTGCTGCAAAACTCTGCATCCAGAGCATTTCAGATTGCTGGTTTTTGTGGAAGTGGGACTCACTGAGCCAGATCACTTGGCTTCCTGCTTCTAATCCCTTCTTTTTCTTTTAAAGATGGGGTTTCACCATGATGGCCAGGCTGGTCTTGAACTCCTGACCTCAGGTGATCCACCCACCTCTGCCTCCCAAAGTGCTAGGATTACAGGCGTGAGCCACCGCGCCTGGCCTCAACTCCTTCTTTTTCAATTGAATGGGTGACTCTGTCTCCCAGGTGTTCCAAGCGCCAGTGGAAAAGGCCACTAAAATTTGTGTGAGTTTTGTGTGGAAGCCTGCAGCGCTGGCTTAAACAGCTGTGCTACAAGCTCGTGGTAGTTTTCAGCCTGAGAATCTGCTGGTCTGTGGGCGTAAAAAATTATGGGAGAAGCACAGTATCTGAACCAGAGCACTGGAGTGGATGGAAAAGCTTCTGATGCCTCCATTGGGTAGGGAGGGGGGTCCTCCAGAGACTGCACATCCTGGGTGAGGCAGCTCCCTACCTTGCCTTGGCTTACCCTTCTTGGGCTACACTCACGTTGCAAACAGTCCCATTGAGATGCACCTGCTATCTCACTTGGAAATGCAGTGATAACTCACCCTCTGCATTGCTCTCGTTGGGAACTGCACTCCAGAGCTGTTCCTATGTGGCCATCTTGGATCTGCCGCCCAGCTTTTTGAATCTGTAATTTAATGATGTCTTGCATTAGTCATAGAAAATTCTTACTTACTACTTCTTCAAATGTTGTTTATGCTCTGTTATATCTCTCCCCTCATTGCAGGACTTCACTTAAACATGCTAGGCTTTATTCTTCTATGTCTTTGGTCTGTATATTTAACATGTATTTAGGGGTTTTTGTGGACTAATATATGATCACTTTTACACAAATATCTTGTTATGATATCAGACAGATTTGATTAAGTGAGTTGTTACCTTTTATATCTTTTGTACTTTGTGAAGCATTGAAATATTATTTAGAATTATGTCACCTGAAAGTTCGATAGAACTTATCTTTGATTTTTTTCAATTCTTACATGTTTCTTGGGCAATTCTAGCTTTCTACATCTTTGTGAATGAACATTGGCAATTTATATTTCCATTTATATCATTTAGAGTTTCAAAATATTAACCCCCAGTAGTTTACAGTTTTATAAATATTACCATATTCATAAAAAATGTTTAAATTCTTTTTCATGTTGTGTATATTTGTGTTTTCTCTCTTCACTTATAATTTGTCTTTTAACAAAGTTTTTATATTTTGCAGTTCTGTAAAAGCTAACCTCAGTTAATAACAAAAATGGAAATTAAGAAAGCAAATGGAAAAGAGTAGGAGAAAACTGTATAAACTCTATAATACTATAATCAAAGGGCTATTTAAAATGAAAAGAATATAGATTGAATTAATAAATGCATGCAAATATTATAGGAAATAATCTAAGTAAGAAAGGCAGGACACATGATATTATGCCCACAGAAGTTACAATTTTGTAAAAATGTACCTACATGTTAGCAAAAATTAAAAGCAAATAATAAATGTAAAAACAGTTACAGTTTAGTGACTCATGAGATTTTTGATATTCATTAGTTCAATTGACTGTTATTTAACCTGCTCTTTCTTTTCCCAGTAATTCCCTGTGGGCTACCCCCCACCATCGCCAATGGAGATTTCATTAGCACCAACAGAGAGGATTTTTACTATGGATCAGTGGTGACCTACCACTGCAATCCTGGAAGCGGAGGGAGAAATGTGTTTGAGCTCGTGGGCGAGCGCTCCATATACTGCACCACCAAAGATGATCAAGTGGGCATCTGGAGTGGCCCGGCCCCTCAGTGCATTATACCTAACAAATGCACGCCTCCAAATGTTGAAAATGGAATAATGGTATCTGACAACAGAAGCTTATTTTCCTTAAATGAAGTTGCGGAGTTCAGGTGTCAGCCTGGCTTTGTCATGAAAGGATCCCCCGGTGTGCAATGCCAGCCCCTGAACAAATGGGAGCCAGAGTTACCAAGCTGCTCCAGGGGTGAGTCTGTCTGATACCCAGAAGGGCCCTGCAAATGCCATGAGTTGCTGCTGGATCAGGAGATTAGTATTTGTTCAGGGGTAGGGATATGTGGTGAGCGGGGTCAGGGAGCAAATTTTCTAGGTAGTGAACATGAAATTCAGAAGGTGTGCGTGTGTGTGTGTGTGTGTGTGTGTGCGTGCGCGTACATGCACATGGTCTGAAATCGAGAAGCAAACCTAAACCTGGGCAAGGAATGTGATGTTTCTTTGGGGTTCTTACAAACAGATCTATCAATTACCTTTCAATATAATAATTGCTTATAGGAAATGAGTGAGTTTTCTGGTCAGATACCATAATACAGGCTATGTGTGAATTTTAATTCTTAAAACAAAGTTATTAGGTAGTTACCAGTTTTTCTATATTTGTCTGTTTTGTTTGCTTGAGAGAGGTTCTTGATCTGTCAGTCAAGTTGGACTGCAGACGTGAGATCATGGCTTACTGCAACTGCTACCTCCCTGGCTCAAGTAATTCTCCAGTCTGAGTCTCACAAGCAGATGGGACTACAGGTGCATGCCACCAAGCCTGGTTACATTTTTTATATTTTTTGTAGAGATGGAGTCTCACCATGTTGCCCAGGCTTGTCTCAAACACCTGTGCTCAAGTGATCTACCCACCTCAGCCTCCCAAAGTGCTGGGAGTGCTGGGATTATAGGCACGAGCCACCATTCCCAGCCTCTATTTTTGGCAGAGAAGTTGTACCTTAGAGAGATCAGATAACTTTCTAAGATACCAACTTCTAGACTGAAGACTGGAACGCAAGTCCACCTGACTCCAGAACCTTGGCTTTGCTAATCAGCACCCAGTCAGGAAATCAAAACTTACTCTAGATACTTTCAAGGAGTGTGGGATTTCATGCAGGTGGTATTAGTCTGTTCTCACATTGCTATAAAGAACTACCTGAAACTGGGTAATTTATAAACAAAAGAGGTTTAATTGACTCACAGTTCTGCAGGCTGTACAGGAGGCATGGCTGGGGACCCCTCAGGAAACTTACAATCATGGTAGAAGGCAAAAGGGAAGCAGGCATATCTTCATGTGGCTGGCAGGATAGAGAGAGAGAGAGAGAGAGAGAGAGAGAGAGAGAGAGCGCAAATGGGGAGGTGCTGTACACTTTTAAACAAGCAGATCTCAATAGAATTCTATCACAAGACAGCACTAGGGTGATGATGCTAAACCATTAGAAACCACCTCCATGATCCAGTCACCTCCCACCAGGCTCCTCCTCCAACAATGGGAATTACAATTTGACATGAGTTTTGGGAGGGGACACAGAGCCAAACCATATCACAGCTAATAGGTCAGAAAGATGTTAGAAGGGCAGGAAAAGCAATAGGAACAAGGTAGAGTTACCAGAGACCAGGGAGCTACTGTGGCTTCCAGTCTAAGGCACGGGAGCCTGTACTGATGCTGAACTGGTCAGCTCCTGCCACTGAGCAGGTGTCTTCCTGAAAGCTGCTAATGTTGCAGGAGCCACCACTGCTGCCAGAATGGAGCTGATATTGCTGGGGCAAAAGTCGTTGGCATTGCTAGAATTGAAGCTGTGGCTGCTCACTGAAGCCATCTATACTGTCACTGCCTGAGCCACCTCTACACGTAGAACAGATTCTGCCATCATCCTGCCTTTTTATTTGGCATATATGCCTCCAATTGATAGACCCTAATCAGAGCCCACCTATCAAGGAAGACAAAGGATTGTAGTTTTAAGGCCTCCATTGCTAGCAGTCAAAAGACAGTGCAGAAGTGTGAGGCCAGGGACCAACATGCATTTAACCAACACATCACCTCAATATTACATCACCAGGCATTGAGTAGTCAAAGGAAACACTGGGTGATGAGCCCTGAAAACTGACATTACAGCATCAGAGTATTTACAAACTCCTTAAAGAAGTCATTTTTCTAGTCCAATTCCCTATTCGATGCTTGAGAAAGCTGAAGTCCAGAAAAGGGAACTTATCTGCTCAAAGCCAAACTGAAATTATTTTTTCCATTTTATAATGGTTTTATATAACTTAGTTGAGACCCAAATGTGTTCTGACTTCCTGAGTTCAGATGAACTAGCTTAAGAGACAACCAGAGATGTCATTATAATATATTGTGTGAAATATACACTCTCATTACGCTGACCGTAGGTCTTTCAGATTTTGTTCAACAGTTGCCCACCTTCTCACTGCAGTGAAATGAATGAGTAGGCAGCATCTTGCTACATAGCATGAAGAGAGGAGACCCATCGTTCTCTAACACCCTATGTCAGGTGGCCGCTAAGAGAGACATGAAAGGAGTTGAGAATAGGTGTATGGACCTTGTTTGTTGCACCAGTGTGATAGGGGATGGAGGGACCTATTAGATGAGACATGTGCATGGGCACTGCCTTATTGCCTAAAATGCAAGACTAAATTGTTGATGTCCTTCTAGAAAGGGAGTGTGAAGATATAAACATCCATCCTTCCTCACAATTTTGTACTGGGCGAACAGTAATTGGAAGCATTCTAGAAGGAACTGTCCATTGTGAAATCTTCGGTGCATACTTCAGATGAAAAACAATGACTTGGGCATACCTCCGTTTTAGTCACAGTTCTGCAAGTGTCAGTTCTATGACTGATGGCAAGACATCTTCCTCGCTCTGTGTATTTAGTTTATCAATATGATAAGGCTTTTATTGTACCTTTTTATTACATATAGATGTATAATTACTATTCCCTTGGCCAGTTTACCAGTGAACAGAAAAAGTTATTTTGACACAATTAGCAGTACTTTGTTTCTCTCTCCCCCAGTATGTCAGCCGCCTCCAGATATCCTGCATGGTGAGCGTACCCAAAGGGACAAGGACAGCTTTTGGCCTGGCCAGGAAGTGTTCTACAGCTGTGAGCCCGGCTATGACCTCAGAGGGGCTGCTTCTCTGCACTGCACACCCCAGGGAGACTGGAGCCCTGCAGTCCCCAGATGTGCAGGTGCCTAGACTCTTACCTGGCTTGATATTTTTAGCTTGTGTCTTTATTCTCCACATGTCGGTTATTTCTGTTTGTTTTCTTTTTCTCCAGTGAGATCCTGTGATGACTTCCTGGGCCAACTTCCTAATGGCCATGTGCTATTTCCACCTAATCTCCAGCTTGGAGCAAAAGTGGACTTTGTTTGTGATGAAGGGTGAGTATGAGCTTGCCTGACCTGCTAGACATTAAAATTTTGGTTGGGAATTAGTCCAAAAAGGGGAGATTTGATGTGGCTTAAAAGAAGGACACACACACACACACACACACACACACACATACACACACACACACACACACACACACCACTCAGAGAGACGAACTTTTGAAAATATATATAGGAAGAAAGGAGATAAACATATAGAACTAATTACATGAGATATGAAGAGCAAACTGGGCCATACATCCACCAAGTTCAAAGACAAATATAACTGCTTGTTATGAATATATAGGTAACACGTTAAGGAATATGAGTAATTTAGAGAGTCCCAGAAAAAAAATTGTTAAGGAACACAAAGCGTATTCTAAAAAGCTAGGATAATTTAAGAATCATTTCAGCCAGGCACGGTGGCTAACGCCTATAATCCCAACACTTTGGGAGGCTGAGGTGGGACCTGAGGTCAGGCGCTCAAGACCAGCCTGGTTAACATGATGAAACCCCATCTCTACTAAATATAGAAAGTAAATTAGTGGGCTTGGTGGCAGGTGCCTGTAATCCCACCTTCTTGGGAGGCTGAGGTACGAGAATCGCTTGACCCGGGGAGGTGGAAGTTACAGTGAGCCGAGATCATGCCACTGCACTCCAGCCTGGGGAATAGAGCAAGACTCCATTTCAAAGACAAAAATTAATTAATTAATTAATATAAAGCATCATTTCAGTAAATTGTTTAAACAACCAATATTAAAATTTTTAATAGGATTGAACATGTAAAAATAAGCACTTTTAAAAAATTCAGTCATATATCATCTGGCAAGTCATGGGCTTTGGGCTCTGAGATGGGGGCCTGATGGCTGCTGTTAATATTTCTGGCAGGGTCATTAACTTGTTTATGTCCCTCTAGTGGTCTGCACAGGGTGTGCATCCCTACGTGGGAGCTGACCAGCATGAGTAACAAAGCACCTGATCCCAAAATGTTCCACAGGATCTTGGCAGGCTCTAAATGCCAGCACCCAGTAAGATTTAGGAGGGCATCAGGGCCCAACAGACATTAAGAATTTTTGATGATTGCATACAAAAATCATGTCCTGTCTTCTTTCCTTTTTCCCCTAGAATATTCACATTTACTCTTCAGCAGCTCAAACTGCTGTTGTGAGCCTTCTTCACGCCATCACAGATGTAGAGACCAAAGGACAATTTCTGTTCTCTCGCCAACTATTTCTCACTTTTCCAGTCCAAATTAGAAGCTGTTTTACTTGCTGTTTCCGGGTCAGCGTCAGGAAGGCGTTGCATTAAGGACTGGGTTTCTAATAATGTCAATGAGTGATTCATCAGGTTATCATAGAGTAGTCAGTGAAACTCCAAGCCTGGGTCCAGGGTCAAGGGGATGGCGGCTATGTCCTGACGACCTTCCTCAATTCAAGCAGAACTATCACGTGACCAAGCTATTGCCTTTTGCCATTTTGTATTGCTCCCTTCTGGATGCTGTGATTTTTCCAGAATAATGTAGTCTCTACAACTCTGCCACCTGCTGGCCTCAGGTCCTCAAAATCCTGAGATTTGGGGCGGGGCCTTAGATTGTGAACTAAGTGACTGGTCTCTTGGCTGAAACAGCTCAGTATTCACTACTATTTTCTTCTTTAGATTTCAATTAAAAGGCAGCTCTGCTAGTTATTGTGTCTTGGCGGGAATGGAAAGCCTTTGGAATAGCAGTGTTCCAGTGTGTGAACGTGAGTAATAGGAGTAACATTTCAGGCCAATCTCTTCCCTTTATCTCTTCAGTATTTGACCCATGGCCTCCCCTAATGTGGTTCTTCAATTTTCTAGTCTGAATTATTGATTTGAAAATTGCCTATTTTAATAATGTTTTGTTGTGAATTAATGTGTACATCACTTGTTTTGGAACAATCTGATCTGTCTCTGTCCCTTAGTATCCCGTGTTCTATTGTGATAAATCCTGTGGTAGTGTGCTTCTAGGTCAGGAGAGGTTAGATAATGTGAAGCTTTAACAATTTGCTTTCTTTCTCTCTTTCTTTCTTTTCTTTCTTTTTCTTCCTTCAGTTCTTTCTTCCCTTCTTCTCTCCTTCTCCCTTCCCTCCTTTATTTTTATTTTGTTCTCCCATCAAGCTGCAGTCAGGCTGCAATTTGTGTATCTATTTGATAATACACAAGTATCAAACATGCCTTTATTTAATCAATATTTTTGGATCAAATACTTTGTGCCAGATGTTCATCTAGCCACTTGACTTACAGCAATGAACAAGACGAGTGAATTCCCTGTCCCCATGTTATTTTTACTCAGGTGGGGAGAGGGACAAGAGAAAAGTAAATTAAATGCTATGAAGATAATAAATCAAAGCAATGAGGAATTAGGGAAAGGTGGGGAGTAACATCACACAGGGTGAGCAGCTTGAGACTCCTTAAATTCTCAAAACGTGGACCTAAATAATTTATACTGAGAGATTCATAAATAATAAATCTGTTTTTAAAAAATGAGCCTCATATGTTTAGTAATCGGTAGACTGCTAATTTCTCCTAGTCTACCCATTATAATTTCCCAAATAGAAGATAGAACTTTGCTTTATTTCTTGATTCCAAAGATTGGAAAGCATATTTCTTTAAAAAAAAAACATGAAATTTTACTAAAATGTTTATATTGTTAGAAATCTACCTGGACATCTTACAGTGCATTTTAGAGTAAAATTGTATAAGAACATAATTTATAGAGTGATTCTTGGCTGTCTAACAAATCCAATGCTCCTCGAAGCAACATGACAAATGCCTGTTCTGCTGTCGTGCATGAAAGCTCAGGTATTGATTGGACTACTCCAGCTTTCTCTTATTTTTCACAACCCTTGCTAGTTGAAGTAGCTTCTTCCAAATTCCAATTCTAATGAAAAACACCAACTAGAAATGAGGAAGAGACTGCTGTAAACAAATCAGCAGATGCTAGAAAGGAGTAACAACTGGAAACCTGACCCAGAAAGTAAAGAGAAAATAAGTCATCAACAGACCTAGCCAGTTTAAAAAGGAAAGCAATCTGAATCCATCTGGAGTTTTTTGTAATGGTCTGACTACATTTCAATTCACTGTGACAATGCTACTGTCATCTTTGAGAGTGATGATCAGTATCAATAAGTAATCAATGAAAGGCTTCATCTATTTAAGGTGGTTAGTACACATATATACATTTGAGAAATATTTCACAAGAATGTAGGCTCCTTCATCAGCACCGTGTCCCCAGTATCCTGATGAGTGGCTGACGCAGGATAAGTGCTCAGTTAATATATGTTGACTAAGGGAATGAGTTACTCTTGAAAATGGCTATTTTTCTTCTTCAAATGTTTTGATACTTCATTAAAGTTGTAAAGTTTCTATTGTCCAGGAACTGCTACTATCTGGAAGATTCAGGATAGACAAATCTCTTTTGTACTTTACAATACACTTCCGTTGACATCTCATTTAATCCAAATCTTTGAAGTCCTAATGTCTACTGCCATCTCCTTAGCATATTTAAATAAAAACAATCATAGCACCTTAAAACTGCAGAATACCTCTGGTGAAACTCCTGAATGAAACTTAGAGCTTTTGCCTTTTTTCCAGAAATCTTTTGTCCAAGTCCTCCAGTTATTCCTAACGGGAGACACACAGGAAAACCTCTGGAAGTCTTTCCCTTTGGAAAAGCAGTAAATTACACATGCGACCCTGACCCAGTCAGCGGGAAGACCTTCGACCTCGCTGGGGAGAGCACCATCCGATGCACAAGTGACCTTCAAGGGAATGGGGTTTGGAGCAGCCCTGCCCCTCGCTGTGGAATTCTGGGTTAGTGCTCATTTCCCTACATCCCAAATGAATTCCAAATATCTTAACCAGGCCCTCCATATTTCCGTAGTTACAGGGTGATATTTATTTGTGCATTTGCCACAGTGGAATGCCAAACCAATGATAAACAGTTCTAAGATAGGGGAACACCTAAGATCCTGACAACCTTTGCAGCCGGAGGAGCTGGTGAAAAAAGAGGGAAGTGGTGAGTGGTGAGAAAGTTCTTCATTAGAATCATAGGTATTAAAAACAAATGCCTGTGAATGTCCTTATTGAAATGGCTGGCTTAGAAATCTGACCTAGAAAATCGGTGGCTCCTTCTGCCGGGAAATGTCTTGAGTTCCCCCACCTCATGCTTGTCAGCCTCTCACTGGAATTTTGATGCATTGAAGTACAAGGAAACCAGACAGCAAAGGTGGAACCTGGGCATAGACACTTCTTATGTCTTCCTAAAATTGTGAAAAATTAATCGGAGCTATCTGTACCTTAAGCTATATGGGCATTAGCCAACTGAGGTGGCAGTTGCCTGTGATCGCAGCTACTCAGGAGGCTGAGATGGGACGATCATTGAAGCCTGGGAGGCACAGGTTTCAGTGAGCCAAGATTGCGCCACTGCACTTCAGCCTGGGTCACAGAGTGAGAACCTGTCTCAAAAATGAAAAGCAAGGGCCGGGCGCGGTGGCTCACGCCTGTAATCCCAGCACTTTGGGAGGCTGAGGCGGGTGGATCACCAGGTCAAGAGATCAAGACCATCCTGGTCAACATGGTGAAACCCTGTCTCTACTAAAAATACAAAAAAAAAAAAAAAAATTAGCTGGGCACGGTGGCACGTGCCTGTAATCCCAGCTACTCAGGAGACTGAGGCAGGAGAATTGCCTGAACCCAGGAGGCAGAGGTTGTGGTGAGCCGAGATCTCGCCATTGCACTCCAGCCTGGGTAACAAGAGCGAAACTCCGTCTCAAAAAAAAAAAAAAGAAAGAAAGAAAAACAAAAATAGGCTGGCCACAGTGGCTCACAACTATAATCTCAGAACTTTGGGAGGCTGAGGTGGGTGGATCACTTGAGGTCAGGAGTTTGAGGCCAGCCTGCCAACGTGGTGCAACTCCAACTCTACTAAAAATAGAAATAAATAAATTACATGCGTAGGAAAACCAGATAGCAGACTAGCCTTCCAGATAATATATTGCCTTATAAGCCTATGCTGATAAAACTTTCCCTTCCAACATTACTGGGAAGTTTTTTTCTTTTTTTTCAAAACTAATTTTCTTTTCTTCTGGCATAAAATCTAACAAGGAAGAGAAAAGAGGAAACACATTGGAGATCTTCTTACTAACTCAGATATTCTTGATATCTTGGTCTCTAGGTCACTGTAAAGCCCCAGGTCATTTTCTGTTTGCTAAGCTGAGAACCCAAACCAATGCATCTGACTTTCCCATTGGGACATCTTTAAAGTACGAATGCCGTCCTGAGTATTATGGGATGCCATTCTCTATCACATGTCTACTTAACCTGGTCTGGTCAAGTCCCAAAGACGTCTGCAAACGTGAGTAACTTACATTGGCTCTTTCCCATGTCTGCCAACGCGTCTTACTGAATTTTTTTCATATGTGGGATATGAGAAACCTTTTTTCAAAAGTGTTCAGGTAGGTAGATGTAAGAGTTATTCTTGTAGGTCATTCTTGATTATTGTTTGAAATGCTTACTTCATGAGAATGTTTCAAGAAATATTTATAAAGAAAATATTCCCTATGGGAAAGTAAATAATAAATGACTGTAGATCAGGGGGAAAATTGTGTAGGAAGATAAATTCTGTTTGAATAACTAGGTGGGAAGAAATCCTCTGAAAACATTGAAATATATTGGTGGTACATAATGCCACAAACGACTTTTACATTTTGGTATGGGATGCAAGGTCTCTACACAGATCTAAATCTAGATTTAGATAGATCTGGAGGGAAGGTCTTTTTGAAAGTGGGGCTTAGTAGTTGGCTGATCCTGAGGTGCTCTGATGAGTTTCTCAAGGTGGGAAAATCTGTAGAACCATCAAAACTACGTATTTTCTTCAGGAAGGTACTTGCAGGTTGATACCTTATGTACTGAAGAGAGTTCAGATTACCTGGCTCCAAAATACCTTCTTTTCCGTAGGTAAATCATGTAAAACTCCTTCAGATCCAATGAATGGAGTGGTGCATGTGATGACAAACATCCAGGTTGGATCCAGAATCAACTATTCTTGTATTACAGGGTGAGTTGGCAGCAACATCTCTTGGTTCAAGAGTTCTGACACAGCCATACACCTTCTAGCCACATCTCAGGAAGGAAACTAGGCTATTGCCACCTGCTCTTAAGAGGCTTGAACAGAGGTGTTAATGCCTGATTGAAATGCACATATAAAGAGTATGGCATTCACTGGATGGGAAGGAAAATAAATTAAGAAAGAGTATAGTACTCAAAGCACACAATCAACCCCAGCCCAGAGTAGACATTGCTGGAAGAAAGAGAAGGCCATGTAGCATCTGTGTGAGAGAACAAATCTTACTGGTAACAGCATGATTGCTTTCTAGGGCTGCCGTCACCAAGTACAGGCCTTCCTCGTTTTATTGCGCTTCGCAGATGTTAGCTTTTTACAATTGAAGGCTCGTGCCAACCCTGTGACAAGCACGTCTGTCGGCATCATTTTTCCAACAACATGTGTTCACTTTGTGTCTCTCAATATCCCATACGTTTTCATGATTATCACATCTGTGACAGTGATCTGTGATCAGGGATCTTTGATGTGACTATTGTCATTGTTTTGGGTCACTACGAACTGCACCCATATAAGACAGAAAATTATGTGCATGCTTTGACTGCTCCATGAACTAGACACTCCCCTTCTCTCTCCCTCTCTTCAGGACTTCCTAATACCTGAGACACAATAATACTAAAACTAGGACAATTAATAGCCCCACAATGGCCTTTAAATATTCACATGAAGGGATGAATCATGCATCTCTTACTTTAAATCAAAAGCTAGAGATGATGAAGCTTAGTGAGGAAGATACCCTGAAAGTCAAGATAGGCCAAAAGCCAGGCCTCGTGCACCAAACAGCTAGTGAGTTGTAAAGGCAAAGCAAAAGTACTTCAGGAAATTTAAAGTGATATTCCAGGGAACACATGAATGATAAGACGGTGAAACAGCCTTATTGCTAATGCAGAAGTTTTCGCGGTCAGATAGAAGATCAAAACAGACACATTTTCTTAAGTCAAAGTCTAATCCTGAGCAAGGCCCTGACTCTCCTCAATTCAGTGAAAACTGACAGAGGTAGGAAGCTGCAGGAAAAAAAAAAAAAAAAAAAAAGCTGGAAGCTAGCGGAGGTTGGTTCCCGAGGTTTAAGGAAAGAAGGCGTCTCCATAACATAAAGGTGCAAGATGAAGCAAGAAGTGCTGATGTAGAAGCCGCACAATTTGTCTGACTAAGATCTGACTAAGATCATTGATGAAGGTGTTACACTAAATAGCAGATTTTCCATGTAGACAAAACAGCTATCAATTGGACTTTCACAGCTAGAGTGGACAAGTCAATGTCTGGCTTCAAGGCTTTAAAGGATAGGCTGACTTTTTAGGAGCTAATGCTGTTGGTGACTTTGAGTTGAAGCCGATGCTCACTGACCATTCTAAAAATCTTAGAGCCCTTACGAATCATGCTAAATGCACCTTGCCCGTACTCTATAAATGAACAACAAAGCCTGATGGCAGAGGTATGTTTGCAGTGTGGCTTACTGAATATTTTAAGCCCGCAGTTGAGCTCTAGCGCTCAGAAAAACAGATTCCGTTCAAAATATTGTTGCTCATTGACATTGCACCTCATCAGCCAAGGCCTCTGATGGAGATGGACAAGGAGATGAATGTAGTTTTCCTGCCTGATGACAGCAGCTATTCTGCAGTCCATGGCTGAAGTAGTAATTTTGACTTTCAAGTTTCAGTATTTAAGAAACACACTTTGTAAGGCTGGAGTTCCCACAGACAGCAATTCCTCTGATGGAGCTGAACAATGTAAGTTGAAAACTGCAGGGAAGAATTCATCATTCTACATACCATTAAGAGCGTTCATGATTCGTGGGAAGAGGTTAAAATATCGACATTAACAGGAGTTTGGTAGAAGTTGATTCCAATCCTCACGGATAACTTTGTGAGGTTCAAGACTTCAGTGGAGAAAATAACTGCAGACGTGGTGGAAATAGCAAGAGAACCACAATTAGACGTGGCGCCTGAAGATGTGACTGAATAGCTACAATCTCATGATCAAACTTGAACAGATGAGGAGTTGCTTCTTATGAATGAGCAGAGAAAGTAGTTTTTTTGCGATGGAGTCTCTTCCTGGTGAAGCTGATGTGAGCATTTCTTAAAATGACCACAAACAATTTAAAATATTACATAAACTCAGTTGATAAAGCAGCAGCAGTATGTGGGAGGATTGACTCCAATTGTGAAAGCAGTTCAGAGGGTAAAATGTTATCAAACAGCATTGCATGCTAGAAAAATCTTTTGCGAAAGGAAGAGTCAATGTGGCAAATTTTATTGTTGTCTTAACTTAAGAAATTGCCACAGCCACCCCAGCCTTCAGCAACCACCACCCTGATCAGTCAGCAGCCATCAGCCTTGAGGCAAGACCCTCCACCAGCAAAAAGATGATGACTTATTCAAGGTCAGATAATCTTTAGCATTTTTTATCAATAAGCTATTTTTTGAAGTATGACTTTTTTTAGACATAATGCTATTTCACACTTAATAGACTACAGTATAGTAAAAAAACAACTTTTAGACTCACTGAGAAATCAAAAAGTTCATATGACTCATTTGCTGTGCTATTTGTTTTATTGTGGTGGTCTGGAACTGAACCTGCAATACCTTTGAGGTACGTCTATAACACGAAATGGCCGGCTTAATACAAGGAAGTTTTTGGAGTTCTGTTCTGGAGTCTGGAAGTCCAAAATCAAGGTGTTGGCAGGGACACGCTCCCTCTGAATCCTGTCGGGGAGGATCCTTCATTGCATCTTCCAGCTTCTGGAGCCCCAGGGCTTCCTTGACGTGTTGCAACAGAACTCAAATTTCTGTCTCTGTCCTCACGTGGCCGTCTTCCCTCTGGGTCTGTGTCCTCACATGCGGTTCTCCTCTCTGTGCATGTGTGTGTCCTGAGTTTTCTCTTTTGATAAGAATGTCAGTCATATTAGGGCCTACCTTAATGGCCTCCTCTTAACTTGACTGGATCTGCAGATTGTATTTCCAAATAAGATCACATCCACAGGGACTGGGGTTAAGACTTCAACATATTTGGGAGAGACACAATTCAAATGATAACAGAGCCCCTTTGAAAATGTCAAACGTCAAGCTCACGGTACATGGTCCAGCTGTTGGTGCTCACCTTTCCCCAGCACACACTGGAGGCCCTGCCTCAATCTCACTCTTCATGGGAACAGCTAAGCCAGGTAGTGAGTAGGGGCTGTGTTTGTGCCACTGCAACAGACACTGCAAGGCAGCTTGTGATGCTCAGCAGCATATTTGCCAGACTCGGCTCACAGACCATAGCACCTAGAATCTAACAAGGTAAAATTAGAATAAATCTAACTTCTTTTCTTTTTCTTTTTTTTTTTTTGAGCATTTAAAAAATACAATTGATAAATTTCCTGACTGTGTCCTCCTCATCTTGCATTGCTGAATAAGTGCGAACCTCTCTATGGTATAAAGCAGAAAATCACTGAGCTTATGACAAGAAACAGGAATGCATGTAAAGAGACCAAGTTGAAAAATCAGGAGAAATTTCCTCCTACAAAAGAGATTTACTGCCAAGAAACCGGGGAAACTTTCAGAACACTCTCCTTTTCTTATTTTTTAAAATGATTCAGTTGTACAAATACTTCTATGAAACTAGCCAGGAAGTTTGTACATGAATGAATATATGTTTTCAGTGTGTTTATATATTTCACTTCATACATGTGTCATACATATACATACATATATATAACAAACACAATGAATAGTGCAGAAAATTAAAGCAAAGAGTAAGAAGAGTTAACCAGATTTTCCTGAATGCAGTGGGAAAAGATGAAAAAGACAGACTGGCAGGCACAGTGGCTCATACCTGTAATCCCAACACTTTGAGAGGTCGAGGCAAGAGAACCACTTAAGCCCAGGAGCTCGAGACCATCCTAGGCAACAAGGCAAAATCCTATTTGTCCAAAAATTATAAAAATTAGCTGGGCATGGTGGCATGCACCTGTAGTCACAGCTATGCAGCAGAGTGAGGTGGAAGGATCACCTGAGCCCAGGACGCTGAGGCTTCAGCGAGCCGTGATGGCACCCCTGCACTCCAGCCTGGATGACAGAATGAGACCCTATCTCAAAAAAAGAAAGAGAGAAGACATATGTAAGACAATGTTAGGATTCAAAATAAATGTAACAAAAGTTCCAAAAGGATAAACAAGTAAGCCCATACCTAGCCATCAATAGGGAAAATCTTCGTTTCAGGGATAGACAAAAAACCTCAGTTTCCAGAAATAAAATGTGAAAATATGATACCTGCAGAAGAAATAAATTTATTGGCACCACCTTGATTCTACACAACACTAAATTGTATAAGATAGCAGTTCTGTTGAGCCAAGCTAATATTCACACCTAGAGGCTCCAGATACACATTAAAAGAAAAGCAAAGACATAAAAATTATAACATTTAAGCATATTTCCCAGGCAATTCATAAGCAAATTTTTAAAAAGGAGAATGATGAATTCCAAGAGAAATATCAATAAGTTTGAGAATTGGTAAAAACAAACAACAACAAAAAATTAAACCATACACACAGAAACTTGGCAATGTAATCACAATTTAGCAATAATCTCTCTAAAATCATAAAACATACCAGTAAAACTAGAAAATGTGAGGAAAGAAGAAAAGGTAGGCTAGACTTACATTTCAGAAAAGATGAGTAGACTGGCTACACAGAGTTAGACTCTAAAAGTGAGAAAATAAGTTTACATATATGTCATGTATATATGTACAATCCACATGCACACATATAAAATGAAATTCCTCATTGGAAAAATATTGTTTAATTTCCAAATATTAGAATAACTAAAACAGCTGAATCCATCTGCTCCATATAGCAAGTGAGAGGGAAGGAAAAGGGATAGCAGGGAATGCATTTGTCTCTTCCACCGAAAAGAAGCCCCTCAGGTTTGGGTCAGGTCATTTTATTCATTGCTTACTCCTCGTCCTCATCATTGGACATCATGAAATCCATGAAAAAGGCAGTGAAAGAATGATAACAAAAGCCAATCAAATGTATCATTCATCTAAATACATTTGGGTTAATCTTCTTGTTGAAAGACAAAGTCTCCTAGAGAGGATCAAAAGCAACAAATCTTATATTTATTAAAAAACACGTCTCAAATAAAATGTCACAGTATTATACACACACACACATCAAGGGAAAATGCAAGCGAAAAGTGGTAGAAATAATATGAGAAAAGATAGAACTTAAGAAAAACATTGTCAAACAGGTCTATGAAATAATTGTGTTATTTTGGTGCCAGATACAGTCCACAATGAAGCCAAGATATTAAAAGAAGCAAAGTGGGCCAGGAGAAGTTAGAGCAGAAATATCCCTTACAATAGTGAGAGAATAGGAAAGAGAAATGAAAGCAGCTGGGAACACACTGGAAGTTTAGGCTGGGCCGTAGACTTCACCTGCATTGTAATCCTTCTGGGTTGCCACATACACACGCTGTGAGGAAGCTGCTGAGGTTTGCACAGCACAGTTCTTCTCCATTGTTTGCCTTTAGGTACCGCCTCGCTGGTCAGTCATCTGCTGAATGTATCCTCTCAGGCAATGCTGCCCATTGGAGCACAAAGCCACCAATTTGTCAAGGTGAGTTGAAATCTTTTTCCCCGCTTACCTCACCAATGAATCCTAGAGTTGTCCTCCTAGAATTACAAAGGATGAATCTCATCCCTCTTGAAATGGGATCCTTTTGATATTTGAAGAATGCAGTCATATCCCAGTCATATCCTAAAAACGGCTCACAGCATTCCCTTCCACCTTCATCTAGAAATGCTTTTTTTTTCCTTATCTTAAAAGGTAATTTATTTTAAACTAGTCTTGAGCTCATTTAAACAACCCCCAATTCCCTCTTCCCAGTTTGAAGAGCATTTTCTTTAGTGAAGTCAACGAATACAAAATCAGTGAAAGAAACACTATATCCTCTCTGCGGGCTCTTAGTACCACAGCAGATACTCAAGCAATGCAGCCCTTTCTTCCTTTTTATTCTTAGTCTAAACAGGTGCATGCCATCTTCCCTGTCAGTTGTTTGGAAGATGAGCTTCCTAGATTTTGGGGAGCAAAGAGGAATGAGCCATTGCAAGCTAACAAGGAATGTAAAATGGATATAATCCTGGGTTTGGTGATGGTGTGAGGAAATCAGCAATTTCAAACAGAACTGGTGGGAGGACAAGTGGACGCAAACTTTGTGGAAGGCCGATCTGGCTGGGCACTGTTCTACTGTAGAGTAGGATGCAGTATTCGGTTTTTCCAAGATCAGACAAGATTGGGGGAATTCAGGGTGGTTTGGCTGTAGATCAATATTCAGTTCTTTTTATTACTTCTGAATCTGCAAGTATTGTGTTTATTACGTGTAATATTGTATACTTGTGCTTTGTGTAATATTGTATATTTTTGCTTTGTCTTTATTAGTTCTGCCAGAGCTTTTTTTTCCTCTATTTAATAAAGATGCTATACTGGGCAAGGTATGGTGGCTCATACTGTAATTCCAGCACTTTGGGAGGCCTTGGTGGGCAGATCAATCGAGCTCAGGAATTCAAGACTAGCCTATACGACATGATGAAACCGTGTCTCTACAAAAATACAAGATCAAACGGGCATGGTGGCCATTTGACTGTACACCTATAGTCAAAACTACTCGGGGGGTTGAGAGGTGGGAGGATTTCTTGAACCAGAGAGATCAAGGCTGCAATGAGACATGATCATGCCAATCAAATGTATCATTCATCTGGGCCTGGGCAGCAGGGCAAGACCCTGTCTAAAAAAAAATGCTACACTATATGCTTTATTATATTAATAACCAATAGAATAAAGCCAAATGACTCCTATAGAGAGAGAGAACTAAATTAATAATGGTGAGATAACCATAGTTAAATTCTCATTTAGCAGGAGAAATATAAACATATACTATAGGCCAGGCACAGTGGCTCACACCTGTAATCCCAGCACACTGGGAGGCCGAGGCAAGCAGATCACTTGAGGTCAGGAGTTCGAGACTAACCTGGTCAACATGGTGAAACCTGTCTCCACCGAAAATACAAAAGTTAGCCCAACGTGGTGGAGCATACCTGTAACTCCAGCTACTCAGGAGGCTGAGGCAGGAGAATCTCTCGAACCTGGAAGGCAGGGGTTGCAGTGAGCCAAGATCATGCCACTGCACTATAGCCTGGGTGACAGAGTGAGACTATGTTATCAAAAAAGAAAGTGGACTATAATAATATATGGACACATTTAGTGAAGTAATGTTAACTGAGAAGAGCAGAACTCATAATATTATAAAACTGTAAGAATATGTCTGTACATTAGCCAATATTAGATGAGAATAATATTATGAATGTTTACTTCTGCTAATTTTGGATTTTAAAAAAACTGTTAGCAAAATTTATACTAAACTATAATTTCAAGAAACTAGGCCAGGGGTGGTGGCTCTCACCTACAATCCCAGCATTTTGAAAGGTCGAGGCAGGCAGATTGCTTGAGGCCAGGAGTTCAAGACTAGCCTGGCCAAACCCAATCTCTAATAAAAATGCAAAAATTAATCAGATATGGTGGTGCATGCCTATAATGCAGCTACTCGGGAGACTGAGGTGGGAGGATTTCTTGACCCGGGAAGCGAAGGTTGCAGTGAGCTGTGATCGTGCCACAGCACTCAAGACTGTGTCCCAAGGTTTTGTTTTGGTTAACTTGCTGTCTCTTTTCCCAGAAATTCCTTGTGGGCTGCCCCCCACTATCACCAATGGATATTTCATTAGCACCAACAGGGAGTATTTTCACTATGGATCAGTGGTGACCTACCACTGCAATTCTGGAAGCGGAGGGAGAAATGCGTTTGAGCTCGTGGGCGAGCGCTCCATATACTGCACCAGCAATGAGGATCAAGAGGGCATCTGGAGTGGCCCGGCCCCTCAGTGCATTATACCTAACAAATGCACGCCTCCAAATGTTGAAAATGGAATAATGGTATCTGACAACAGAAGCTTATTTTCCTTAAATGAAGTTGCGGAGTTCAGGTGTCAGCCTGGCTTTGTCATGAAAGGATCCCCCCGTGTGCAATGCCAGCCCCTGAACAAATGGGAGCCAGAGTTACCAAGCTGCTCCAGGGGTGAGTCTGTCTGATACCCAGAAGGGCCCTGCAAATGACATGAGTTGCTGCTGGATCAGGAGATTAGTATTTGTTCAGGGGTAGGGATGTGTGGTGAGCTGGCGGGGAGAGCAAGTTTGGGGAAAGAAGTATGAAATTAAGAATCGGGGTGTGCATGCACCCATGCATATGTGTCTGCACTGTGAAAAGCAAGACCCTAATTAGCCAAGAAAGAAGAGTTTGGACTCACCTGTTAATCAGTTACCAGGGCAAAGAACCAGCTACACTATCTCTCAATTATATTGAAAAATCATATGGACATTCTTTATGGTCAGCTGTGCACTGAGCACTTTATATATATTTTCTCATTTATTATTTACAATAACACTTTGAAATTGTGCTGCTGTAATATCCATTTAAGAGTGAAGTCAGCCTGGCCTTTCAGAGGTTAGGTAAATTGGCCAAGTCACATGCTCGAGCTGAGACACCCAAGATTTTAAAAGGCAAGGGTCTCAGACCCCAGAGTCTGGATGCTGTGGCTCTTGCCATACTTCTATCAGCATCCATTGGTGAAAGAAAGAGACTGGTTTACAAAGACCAGAAATCAGAGCATCAGAATAGAGACAAAGACGTTAGCGTTTATCTATAATGGTCTGCCTCCTACATTTTATTTTGTGTTTTATTTTATTAAAAACCTATATATTAGGGTTAAGGTCCATCTCTGTTGCCCAGGCTGATCAATGATACAGTGATACAGTCATGGCTCACTGCAGCCTCAAACTCCTGGGCTCAAGCCATCCACCTCCTACATTTTATCCCCAGGAATCTAAGAGTGAAAGTAACTTGCTCAAAGGCAGTTAAGTAACGATTTTTAAGTTCATCTTGAATGAGGTGCAGATTAGGTTGATGTGATATGGGTTCTGATGCCCTAAGCATGGAGAACAGGACTGTAAATAAAGGCAGACGTTGAGTCAGACACTCTCCAAATAATATGTCCTCTCTCGACAAAGGGCTGGCTTATTTAAGGGCTTTTGTTTTTGGTAGCTCATCTTGTCTACTGGTGTCACAATAGCTGGTTTAGCAGTGGAGTGGGAGGTGTAATGGCTGATACATAGGGACAGAGAAGAAGCTTACAATTCTACCAACCCGTGTTAGCCTTGTGCGACCACTGAGCTGGGAAGACGAACAGATAAAGACACACAAAGTTGGATGTATTGAGGTCGGAGATGGGCAGGGCTTGTGTTGTGTTCACAATCCTGCTGACCAAAACAGGATCTGGCTTAGACAGGATGAAGTGAAGAAACAGCAGGAGCCAGCAGATGGCGATGAAAGCAATCCCCAGCTGCCCTCACATTCCCATCAGCACCATGATTTACAAACAGCCATGGCAATGACCTGGAAGTTACCACCCCTTTTCTGTAGAGTTCTAAATAACTCACCCCTTAATTGGCATTGATCACTTCTTAATTTACCTGTAATTGAAGCAGGTTTAGAGGAGTATAAATACAATTGCCTGCTAGGAGCCCATATGTTGCCAACACTGGACACACTGCCTGTGAGTTAGCAGTGCTCAGCAAGGGGCAGTGTCTTTCACCAAAGGATTTCTATCTAGCACCACTGGGTCATCTTTGAATTCTTTCTTAGGTGAGGCAAGAACTCTTCCAGAATAAGCCCCAATTTGGGGGCTTGCCTGTCCTGAAATAGTATGACTGTACTTTAGTCATAGGTGTGCAATCAGAGAAATGGGGGTGGGGGGAATCAGTTACACAGGCTTGGGCTTAGGTGACAGTCTCATTACCTGAATAACGGGTGAAAACTGGGATTGCCTTCCTAGGAAGCATGTAGATGGAGAATCCACCAATACTAACAACTCCACACTGGATAGCAAGAGCTAGGAGAAAAAACCTCATGCCCTGTAGATTTACAAGTGAATTCGAGGTCTTGTGCTAGGGAGAATTGGGTTCTATTGCTCTCCCTCTGACTAGTTGTGAGGGCTTCAACAAGCATAAGCTATAGCAAAGGAAATTCCCCCATAACTAACAAGTACTCTGGAACTATCCTTCCCACAGTGTGTCAGCCACCTCCAGAAATTCTGCATGGTGAGCATACCCAAAGCAATCAGGTCAACTTTTCACCTGGGCAGGAAGTGTTCTACAGCTGTGAGCCCGGCTATGACCTCAAAGGGGCTGCTTCTCTGCACTGCATACCCCAGGGAGACTGGAGCCCTGAAGCCCCCAGATGTACAGGTGCCTCGACTCTCTGGCTTCTCGATTGCTCTCTGTAACCCTCACATGGAGGTCTTACTCCTATTTTTTTTTATTCTAGTGAAATCCTGTGATGACTTCTTGGGTCAACTCCCTCATGGCCATGTGCTGCCTCCACTTAATCTCCAGCTTGGGGCAAAAGTGTCCTTTATTTGTGATGAAGGGTGAGTGTGACTCAGAATTAAGATCAGTGACTCAGCTCTGGAGAGTGACTCTTGAGCTCAAGGATCAATCCGAAAAGAGGGCTGACCTAGGAAAAGAAGAACACAGGGAGATTAACTTCTGAAAGTGTGGTTTAAAAAAGGGTAGGGGCTAAGTGGCAGTACTATCGGGAGATAAAGTGATAAAGAAAAAGTGGCACATACAACTCAGTGTCAAGTACAAACAGAAAGACAGCCAGCAGTCCAGAAAAGGAGACTGACCTAGTGCAGAGAAGTACTGGAGGAGAATAATATCTGAAACAATGATTGGGAAGTGCGGGATGAACCAGATGGATCCATGAACAGAGGTTTAAAAAGGAAAAAGCTCAACTCATTTGATTTCTCACTGATAGAGGCTCAGGAATCAAATCATTTTGGGAAACATGCAGCTTCCAGTGAGGGACAAAGCAGAAACAACAAGAGAAATAAACAGATCTTGAAAAAAAATGTGTGTGTGTGTGTGTGTGTTTGTGTGTGTATGAGTGTGTACATATATATATAGGACATTAGATGTATGAACAAATGATAATTTGCATACATGAAGAGATAAATATTCTAAGGGGTTGTTAAGAAAAGTTTGTTATAAAAGAAAGTTGTGTATAAGATAAATAACATGCAAAGATTATTTCACAAAACTTTTAAACAAATAAATAGTGGAATTCGTGGTAAGAATGAAAGAGTAAGTAAAAATATTTTAAAATCCAATTACACATGATTGACAGCTTTGCCAGCTGTTGTTGCTTTGTCCTCACTGAACGCTACACTTTCTCCAACATGATTTGTCTTCTGAGCCTGTCAGTGAGAAACAAGGTGAACTGAGTGCTTTTACCTGTGCTTTAGCTGAGCAGTGAAATGTTAATTAAGTCAGGAATTCTCAGGGAGGAGGCCGAGATCTGTCAGTGAAGGGAAGAGAGAAATGGTGCCTTCATCCAGACACTACTGCTTTGTTCTTTAGGTTTCGCTTGAAGGGCAGTTCCGTTAGTCATTGTGTCTTGGTTGGAATGAGAAGCCTTTGGAGTAACAGTGTTCCTGTGTGTGAACGTGAGTAGATGAAATACTTCTTCAGTCTGGATCTTTCTCTTTGTTTTTTTCTGAATGTGGTTTGCCCCATGAGATGATCTATTGTTTGTCCCACTATTTATGTCCATTTTTAATAGAAATTGTTTTTTGTTGGAGTAGATACAGGCAATGTTTTGGGGTAAAATAAACCTGAGCATCATGTGGTTTTGGGTAACATACTATAAATATTTATGAGGAGAGTCTGTGCTATAAATAGAGAGAAATGCTTCATAGAAATAAATGTACGGCAAGACGCTATGCTAAATTTTTCTCTTCTTTCCTGTCAGAAGTAATGGTCACACGTCAACTTTTCAGTTCTTCCCTCAGTTACCCATTTAGTCATCTACTCATTCTTTCAACACAAAATTATTTGAGCACTTGTTAGTGCCAAGCAATCTTCTGGGAACTGGGAATATGCCTATAAACAAGACACATAAGTCCATGTTTATATTTTTGTGCAAGAATAAAGACAAAATAAAACAAAAACATGAATAGAAATGTTCAGATAATACCAAGTGTTATTAAGAAAATGCTCTTAATTGATTCAGTGCTGCTGTCAGTTGAGAAAGTAGCTGAGGACCCCAAAGGCAAGTATACCTCTAGGTGTAGCTGAGGGTTCCAGCTGGGAGGCGGTTGCAGCAATTTAATCAGAGATGTTGGCCCAGGATAGCCACTGGGAAAGGTGTTGATGAGAAGTGATCAAATTCTGAATATATTTTCAAGGTGCAGATGACAGGATTTGTTGATGGTTTGCTTATGTGAGAGAAAGAGAAGAATCATAGACAGTTTCCAGGTTTTTGGCCAGAACGACTGCCAGGGTAGAATTTCCCTTAGCTGAAATGCAGGGGACTGCATGAAGTTTGGGAGTGGGGGAAATCAAAAGTTAAGCTTAGGACATAAGTTTCATATTCCTCTTAATATCCAGATGGGTATCTTGGAGAGACCCAGCCTGCCCATAGGTAGGTAAAAGCCATCATTGTATCTGCTGTGCTTAAAATCAGGACTGAAAGAGATCCTCACCTAGGGAGTGAGTGCTGCTCAAGAACAGATGCTTGGACTGAGCCTGGATGTCCAGGATTAAGAGTTGAAAAGGTGAGAAGGAATTATGATGAAAGGGATTATGATGAGGCAGCCACTGCAGTAAGAGAAAACACGGGAGGGTGAGGTGCCCTGGAAGCCAAGTGGGGAAATTCTATTAAGGAGATTAGACTAACCAACTCTGTCAAATGCTATAGAGAGGTCAAATTCGGTGGGCACAGAAAATTGAACTTTGGGTTTAGCAACTTGGAGGTAACAGGTGGCAGTTTCAGTAGAGTGCTGGCAAACACTGATTGGAGTGAATTCTTGGGAGAATGAACGGGAGGAATTTAACAGACCATAGACAATATTTTAGAGGAGCTTTATGTAAAGAGAGTAGAAGTAGGACTATAGCTGGGGAAGGAAATGGCAGCAAGAGGGGGTGCTTTTTATTTTTAAGAGGGCAGAAAATAGTGTGTAAAAAACAGAAACATTATTATGTCCAATCTGTTCATTTACTTCTTCACTAAATCAATCAGCGATATTGCTTCCCCTTCTAAGCATAGCTATTAAAAATACATGTTTACAATAGAATTTTGCTCAAATGAATACTTTGCTTTAAAATATTTCAATGTCTCGTACTGGTTTATATGATGAAACATGATAGTATCATCTTGCATATGTGGAAGTCAGCTACTTGACAAACAGCAAGTCAACTGTTTCCCTGAAGTAGTTAAGAAGTATGAGAGAAAAACAAGAGAAAATACCCTCCTGAAGCCAACATATGCCTGAAATCACTGACCAGAGTGTAAACATCGGTTAAGCTATTTTAGCCTTGGGTTAGTTTATCTACAATTTTTTTAAGCTGTAATATCCTCTTCCCAAATTCAAAGCAAATTCGAAAGGGGAAGGAATGTCTCCAAATAGAGGCATTCCAAAGAATAAATGTATTTCTTTAACAAAAAAAAATCCTTTAAAAACCAATGAGTATCTCAAAAAAGCCTAACATTCTTGAGCCTTTTGAAACACATACAAGAGTACACAGTATATTTTATTTTCATTATGACAGCATTACTGTAATCTTTCATATTTATTTTGAAAATCATTGCCTGGCATCATAAAGAAAAATTAAATCACTGATATACAAATAGTAAGTGCATAATATATTTTAGAACGATGTCTCCAGGATGCAGATTCTTGGTGTCAAAGATCATATTTATCTTGGGCTTAAAATGGTACTGGACATACAGCAGGTACTCAAAAAATGCTTACTGAATTAATGGATGATTTCCCTTTAATGTGGCTATGAAGATTTTTATTGACTTTAAAGGAATATACTATTTATTACTCAGAAATCTTAACTGTCTGAAAAATGTAGTATGCTTAATTTGGGGAAGACTTTTGTAATAAACATTGATTTAGTTGTCATTTCATTTGTCTCCATCTTAGAAGTTTCTACTTGCCTTAAGAAAAAAGTACGCTTAACTAGTGACACAGACACCGTATGACAACTATAAAATCACCTTGGATTTGAATTTAAAATTTTAAATGGAATTGAGAGCTCTTGTTTTCTTTCTAGAAATCTTTTGTACAAATCCTCCAGCTATCCTTAATGGGACACATACAGGAACTCCCCTTGGAGATATTCCCTATGGAAAAGAAATATCTTACACATGCGACCCCCACCCAGACAGAGGGATGACCTTCGACCTCATTGGGGAGAGTACCATCCGCTGCACAAGTGACCCTCAAGGGAATGGGGTTTGGAGCAGCCCCGCCCCTCGCTGTGAACTTTCTGCTCCTGCTGGTCAGTATCTCCTTCCACATATCCTAAATGGGTTCAGAACATCTGGACCCAATCCTTCATGTCTCTATAATAAGAGTGTGGTATTTGTTTATGAGATTAACTTTGTCATAAGTGGAAATGTCAAAATGGCATACTGTAGCTAAAACAGATGGGTTTCAGCAGCGCCAAGGTGTGTTTGAATTGATAAGATGAGCAGAATTCTTGCTGGTGGAGTGGAGAAGGGTGGGGTAAGGGGACTGAAGGGAGCGGAGGAAGAAAGGCAGCAAGACACAGTTATGAAAATCAGGAAGAAAAATGTATTCACTGGAGAGGACATGGAAACAACTGCCTATGAACACTAGCCAGTATCAGTATAATTGACAGACACGCTCCGTAAGTTCATGAGACGCACGTGGGCATGCAAAGTTCAAAATCGGAAATGTGGATATTATTTAGCTAAGGTTTTAACTAGTGTTTTGCTGCATGGGCTAACCAAAAAGACTCTTTGTCTTGACTAAAAGTTTGTCCACTTGTCAGCTTGCCTCCGGGCCAACTTTGTTTTTGTACTTGAACTGTTCCACCCGGGGATAAGAAGCAAGGAAATGAGTAGCCCAAAGAAAAGAGTATGAAAAGGAAGAGGCTGTTTCTTCCTAAGGACGGGAGAAGTTGCCTGATCCTTTAGGGCAAACATTCGGCCTTTTCCAGAACAGAAGCTGGAGTAGATTGGAGATGTGGCACCAGCCTTGGAATATTCCATTATCCACAGGGAAACCCTGAGAGAGAAGAGCAATCCAAGGTGAAAAGGCATTTAAACCTGATGAAACGCATTTAACCTCTCTTTGATCTTTACCCTCCAACTGAGTGGTACCCTTCAGAATCCAGTAAATTTGAGATGGAATCTCACTCTGTCACCAGGCTGGAGCCTGCAGTGGCGTGATCTCGGCTCACTGCAAAGTCCACCTCCTGGGTTCAAGTGATTCTCCTGCCTCAGCCTCCCGAGTAGCTGGGACTACAGGCATGTGCCACCATGCCCAGCTAATTTTTGCCTTTTTAGTAGAGACAGGGTTTCACCTTGTTGGCCGGGATGATCTCTATCTCTTGACCTCATGATCCACCCGCCTCGGCCCCACAAAGTGCTGGGATTACAGGCGTAAGCCACTGCGCCTGACCAGAATCTAGTAATACAATTTTTATTATTATTTTTTAATTGTACTTTAGGTTCTGGGTACATGTGCAGATCATGCAGGATTGTTGCATAGGTACATACATGGCAATGTAGTTTACTGCCTCCATCTCTCTGTGACCTACATCTGGCATTTCTCCCCGAGTTATCCCTTCCCGACCTCCCCACCCCCGTGCTGTCCCTCCCTTACCTTCCCCAAGAGACCCTAGTGTGTGATGCTCCCCTCCCTGTGTCTATGTGTTCTCATTGTTCAACGCCCGCCTATGAGTGAGAACATGCAGTGTTTGATTTTTTAATGGAAATGCCTATGCCCCAGTGCAGGCTTAATGAATGAACAGATGGAGGAAGTCTTCTACAAAAAGGAGGTGGTTTAGTTCAGACTCTATTTGAAAACATGCAGCATATGGCTGGGCACGGTGGCTCACATCTGTAATCCCAACACTTTGGAAGGCCGAGGTGAGATGATTGAGGCCAAGAGTTCAAGACCAACCTGGCCAACATAGCAAGACCCTGTCTCTATATAAAACAAAATTTGAAAGTTGCAAATACTGTTAAACAATAAAAGTAAAAATATGCAGCACACAATATACTCTCTCAAAAAGAAGACATAGCCTCTTACAGGAGGCTGACTTAGTCTGTTTAGTTATGGTTGTGTGTGTGTGTGTGTGTGTGTGTGTGTGTGTGTGTGTGTGTGCTGTGTCTGTTTTTGAGGCAGGGTCTTGCTCGTTTGCAAGGCTCTTGCCCAGGCTGGAGTATAGTGGTGCAATCATAGCTTACTGCAGCCTCTACCTCCCTGGCTCAAGTAAGCCTCCCATCCCAGCCTCCCAAGTAGCTAGAACCACAGGTGCATGCCACCAAGCCCAGCTAACTCTTGCATTTTATGTAGACTGTGTTTCCTCATGTTACCCAGGCTGGTCCTGAACTCCTGAGCTCAAGCAATCCACCCCAGGAGTGCTGAGACTACAAGGTATGAGCCACTGTGCCCAGCCTATTTTGTTCTATCTTTAAATGCCTGGTTTAGCATCAGAAGAAGAAGACTGTATTAGTTTCCTAGGGCTGTTGTAACAAATTACCACAAACTAGGTGCCTTAAAACAAAAGAAACTTATTATTTCACAGTTCTATAGTCTAGAAGTCTGAAATCGAGGTGTTGGCATTTTCCCATCTTCTAAGGCTCTAGAAAATAGCCATTTCCTTGCTTCTTCCATCTCCTGCTGGTTTTTGGAATTCTGTGGCATTCCTTGCTTTATGGAGGCTTCATTCCAATCCCTGCTTCCATGATAGCCTTTTCCTCTGTGTCTCTATTTTTCAAATCCCTCTGCTTTTTCCCTGATAGGACATCAGTCATTGGATTTAGGGCCCACTCTAAATAAAAGAAGATCTAATCTCAAGATCCTAACCTTAATTCTATCTGAAAAATCATTATTCCAAATAAGTTCCTATTCTGAGGTTTTAGGTAGAGATATCTTTTGGGAGAACATCATTCAACTCACTACAAGGGGTATTTGCTTTGAAGGGCCAGAGAGGCACCCTGAGAATGGAGTAGATGGGGAGAGATGGTAAAATATGTATCACAACTCAGGAGTGAATTAGCACAAATACATGAGGATTTAAGTGGTTAACTATGGATATAGGCACACCTATAGGAGGTCTGACATGAAACTATAAGTTGAAGTTCTTGCTTTGGTGCAATAAGAGCAAAAAGATCAGAAAGCTGAGTAGTCTTCCAAATAGTAAAAATTTCCTGCTTGAGTAGATGCCATTGAAAGCTCCATCCCAAGATAACATGAAGGGGAAGAAAATCTTTTGCTATTCTTGTAAGTCTCTTTGTTTCTGTGGTCCCATCTAGTAGCTTAATTGGAGAGAAAGAGAAGGTAGGGTGGAAGTCTCTCTGCTAACTTTGATATTCCTGTGGTTTTGTTCTCCAGGTCACTGTAAAACCCCAGAGCAGTTTCCATTTGCCAGTCCTACAACCCCAATTAATGAGTCTGAGTTTCCAGTTGGGACATCTTTGAATTATGAATGCCGTCCTGGGTATTTTGGGAGTATGTTCTCTATCTCCTGCTTAGAAAACTTGGTCTGGTCAAGCGCTGAAGACAACTGTAGACGTGAGTAACCCCTCTCTGGGAGCTACTTCATGTCTGGGCATTGGTGGAACTGGGCTTGGTGGCTCACACCTGTAATCCCAGCACTTTGGGAGGCCAAGGCTGGCAGACAGCTTGAGCTCAGGAGTTCGCGACCAGCCTGGGCAACACGGCCAAATCCCATCTCTACAAACAACAACAACAATAAAAACAGAACAGCTGGGATTTAGTTCAGTTTGCTCGAATTTTGGAGGCAGGATGTCTACATTTGCCCGAGGTATTTTTAAAGGGTGAATTTGTACATCACCTCTTCTTATTGCTTGAAGTTTCTGAACCCTGACTAGATGCTCATTTCATGAGAATGACTCTCACAAAGGAATTAGAAAGAAAATTTACATTCACTGTAGATGACCCTTTATGGCTGAAACTATGAAATGAATGAAACAGGAGTACAAAAGAAATGTATGTGGGTTGCAGTGAACTGTGCTTGGCTAACTAAAAATAGGGAGGATATCCTAAATTTTGAGGCCTTTGATTTTGGCTGGCGGAATAAGAGTACAACACTTTAGCCATAAATGACTTGTTTTGTGTTGTATTGTTTCTGTTGTTGTTGTTTTGTTTTGTTTTGCTTTGAGATGGAGCCTCACTCTATGGCCCAGGCTGGAGCAAAGTGGCACAATCTTGGCTCACTGCAACCTCCTCCTCCTGGGTTCAAGCAAGTCTCCCTGCCTCAGCCTCCTGAATAGCTGGGATTATAGGTGCCCATCTCTACACCCAGCTAATCTTTGCATTTTTTAGTAAAGATGGGGTTTTGCCACGTTGGCCAGGCTTGAACTCCTACCTCAGGTGATCCACCCGCCTTGGCCTCCCAAAGTGTTAAGATTACAGGAATGAACCACTTCACCCGGCCCATAAATAATCCTTATTAGGAGATGCAAGGTAGTCTTTTTTAAAGTGGTTTAAAGATTGTGTGGTCCTGAGGTTGTCTGCCAAGTTTCCTCAACATAGTCAATTCTGTTGAAACAATCAGAACTGTATACGCTGTTCAGTATGCCACGCTCCAGTTTGAACCTTACAAACAAAGGTAAGTTGAACTCTACACTTAATCCCAAATTCTGCTTCTTCCTCCTAGGAAAATCATGTGGAACTCCTCCAAAACCCTTCAATGGAATGGTTCATGTAAACGCAGACACCCAATTTGGATCAACAATTGATTATTCTTGTAATGAAGGGTGAGTTGAAAATACCATCTCTTGAATATTAGTTCCAGAACAGCAGAGCCAACTTCTGACCCAGTCTCAGATAGACAAACTAAACCATTGCTACCTTTACTTTAAAAGCAAGCAATAGGACTTCTAGACGGAGATTATACCTTGGACATAGGCATATGATCAGAGGAATATGAAAAAAAAAGGAATAATCTGTATTGTATTGTAAACCGGGGAAGGCACCATGTTCCTGTCAGAGGTGGTACATGTGAAACCTGGTCAGGCATTCATTGGATGAAAAGGAGAAGCTTACAAATAAGTAAAAGGAAAACAGGTAGATGAACCATGCAAACCTCCTTAACTGAGATCAGTAGGTACTACAATTGGGTTGGAGGACCCTGAATCAGGATTTGGGAGGGTAAATCTTAATTGTAACAACAGCTCTTGGGGAAGTGTATGCATTAAAAGTACACACAGAGAGCGGACATTTATGAGGTTCTTGCTCTTGACATCTCCTTGGGACAAGTAGCCAGACAAGAAGCCACTGCCTCAACTGAGAAGGGGCTTTTAAAGACTCTGGAGTGGACTTCCAGCAAACTCCAGCAGACCTGCAGCAGAGGGGCCTGACTATTAGAAGGAAAACTAACAAACAGAAAGGAATAACATCAACATCAACAAAAAGGATGTCCACGTGAAAACCCCATCCAAAGGTCACCAACATCAAAGACCACAGGTAGATAAATGCACAGAGATGAGGAAAATCTAGCACAAAACAGCTGAAAATTCCAAAAACCTGAACAGCTCTTCTCCTCCAAAGGATCACAACTCCTTGCCAACAAGGAAACAAAACGGACAGAGAATGAGTTTGATGAACTGACAGAAGTAGGCTTCAGAAGGTGGGTAATAACAAACTCCTCTGAGCTAAAGGAGCATGTTCTAACCCAAAGCAAGGAAGCTAAGAACCTTGAAAAAAAGAGGAATTGCTAACTAGAATAACCAGTTTAGAGAAGAACATAGATGACTTGATGGAGCTGAAAAACACAGCATGAGAACTTCATGAAGGATACACAAGTATCAGTAGCTGAATCAATCAAGCGGAAGAAAGGATGTGAGAGATTGAAGATCAACTTAATGAAATAAAGCAGGAAGACAAGATTAGAGAAAAAAAGAATGAAAAGGAATGAACAAAGCCTCCAAGAAATAAGGGACTATGTGAAAAAACCAAACTTATATTTGATTGGTGTACCTGAAAGTGACGAAGAGAATGAAACCTAGTTGGAAAACTACTCTTTAGGATATTATCTAGGAGAACTTCCCTAACCTAGCAAGGCAGGCCAACATTCAAATTCAGGAAATACAGAGAACACCGCAAAGACACTCCTCGAGAAGAGCAACTACAAGACACATAATCGTCAGATTCACCTGTTTGAAATGGAGGAAAAAAATGTTAAGGGCAGCCAGAGAGAAAGGTCAGGTTAATCACACAGGGAAGCCCATCAGACTAACAGAGAATCTTTCTGCAGAAACCATACAAGACAGAAGAGAGTGGAGCCAATATTCAACATCCTTAAAGAAAAGAATTTTCAACCCAGAATTTCATATGCAGCCAAACTAAGCTTCATAAGCAAAGAAGAAATAAAATATTTTACAGACAAGCAAATGCTGAGAGATTTTGTCACCACCAGGCCTGCCTTACAAAAGCTCCTGAAGGAAGCACTAACATGGAAAGGAACAACTGGTACCAGCCACTGCAAAAACATACCAAGTTGTAAAAACCATTGACACTACAAAGAAATTGCATCAACTAATGGACAAAATAACCAGCTAGTGTCATAATGACAGAATCAAATTCACACATAACAATATTAACCTTAAATGTAAATGAGCTAAATGGCCCAATTAAAAGACACAGACTGGAAATTGGAGTCACGATCCATGGGTGTGCTGTATTCAGGAGACCCATCTCTTTATTTTGAGCCTATGTGTGTACAACAGGCTTTACAATCCTAATCTCTGATAAGAAAACAGGCTTAAACCAACAAAGATCAAAAAAGACAAAGAAGGCCATTATGCAATGGTAAAGGGGTCAATGCAACAAAAAGAGCTAACTGTCTTAAATAAATGTGCACCCAATACAGGAGCACCCAGATTCATAAAGCAAGTTCTTAGAGACCTACAGAGAGACTTAGATTCCCACACAATAATAGTGAGGGACTTCAACACCCCACTGCCAATATTAGATAGGTCAATGAGACAGAAAATTAACAAGGATATTCAGGACTTGAACTCAGCTCTGGGCCAAGTGACCTCAGAGACATCTACAGAACTCTCCACCCCAAATCAATAGAATATACAATCATCTCACCACCACACTGCACTTATTCTACAATTAACCACATAATTGGAAGTAAAACACTCTTCAGCAAATGCAAAACATAGAAATCATAACAGTCTCTCAGACCACAGTGCAATCAAATTAGAACTCAGGATTAAGAAACTCACTCAAAACCTCACAACTACAGGGAAAGTGAACAACTAGTTCCTGAATGACTGCCGGGTAGATAACGAAATGAAGGCAGAAATAAATAAGTTCTTTGAAACTGATGATAGCAAAGACACAACATAACAGAATCTCTGGGACACAGCTAATGCAGTGTTTAGAGGGAAACTTAGAGCATTAAATGCCTACAGGAAAAAGCACAAAAGATCTAAAATTGACACCCTAATGTCACAATTGAAAGAACTAGAGAAGCAAGAGCAAACAAATTCTAAAGTAGCAAAAAATGAGAAATGATTAAGATCAGAGCAGAACTGAGGGAGATAAAGACACAAAAAAGCCTTCAAAATATCAATGAATCCGGAAGCTGGTTTTTGAAAAGATTAACAAAATAGATAGGCCACAAGCCAGACTAAAAAAGAAGAAAAGAAAGAAGAATTAAAGAATTAAATAGACACAATAAAAAATAATAAAAGGGATATCACCACTGATCCCACAGAAATACAAATTACCATCAGAGAATATTATTAATACCTCTATGCAAATAAACTAGAAAATCTAGAAGAAATGGATAAATTCCTGGACACATACACCCTCCCAAGACTAAACAAGGAAGAAGTCGAATCTCTGAATAGACCAATAATAAGTTCTAAAATTGAGGCAGTAATTAGTAGCCTACCCACTAAAAAAGTTCCAAGACCAAATGGATTCACAGCTGAATTCTACCAGAGGTACAAAGAGGGGCTGGGACCATTCCTTCTGAAACTATCCCAAACAATAGAAAAAGAGGGACTCCTTCCTTACTCATTTTATGAGGCCACCATCATCCTGATACCAAAATCTGGGAGAGATGCAACAAAAAAAGAAAATTTCAGGCCAGTATCCCTAATGAACGTCAACATGAAAATCCTCAATAAAATACTAGCAAACCAAATCCAGCAGCACATCAAAAAGCTTATCCACCATGGTTAAGTCTGCTTCATCCCTGGGAGGCAAGGGTGGTTCAACATATGTAAGTCAGTTAACCTAATCCATCACATAAACAGAACCAACGACAAAAACCACATGATTATCTCAATAGATGCAGAAAAGGCCTTTGATCAAATTCAACACCCCTTCATGCTAAAAACTCTCAATAAACTAGGTATTGATGGAATGTATCTCAAAATAATAAGAGCTACTTATCATACTGAAAGGGCAAAAGCTGAAAGCCAATATCATACTGAATGGGCAAAAAGCTGGAAGCATTCCCTTTGAAAACAGGCACAAGGCAAGGATACTCTCTCTCACCACTCATATTCAACATAGTGTTGGAAATTTTAGCCAGGGCAATCAGGCAAGGGAAAGAGATAAAGCGTATTCAAATAGGAAGAGAGGAAGTTAAATTGTCCGTTTGCAGATGACATGATTATACATTTAAAGAAAACCGCATCATCTCAGCCCCAAATCTCCTTAAGCTGATAAGCAACTTCAGCAGTTTCAGGATACAAAATCAATGTGCAAAAATCACAAGCATTCCTATGCAACAATGGCAGACAAACAGAGAGCCAAATCATGAGTGAACTCCCATTCACAATTGCCACAAAGGGAATAAAATACCTAGGAATAACTTACAAGGGATGTGAAGGACCTCTTCAAGGAGCACTACAAACGAATGTTCAAGGAAATAAGAGAGGACACTGACAAACGGGAAAACATTCCATGCTCATGCTTAGGAAGAATCAATGTTGTGAAAATGGCCACACTGCCCAAAGTCATTTATAGATTGAATGTTATTCCATCAAACTACCATTGACTTTCTTCACTGAATTAGAAAAAAGCTACTTTAAATTTCATATGGAACCAAAAAGAGCCTGTATAGCCAAGACAATCCTAAGCAAAAAGAACAAAGCTGGAGACATCACACTACCTGACTTCAAACTATACTACAAGGAAAAACAGCATGGTACTGGTACCAAAACAGATACATACATCAATGGAACAGAACAGAGGCCTCAGAAATATTGCCACACATCTACTACCATCTTATCTTTGACAAACCTGACCAAAACAAGCAATGGGGAAAAGATTTCCTATTTAATAAATGGCATTGGGAAAACTGACCAGCCATATGCAGAAAATTGAAACTGGGCCCCTTCCTTACTCCTTATACAAAAATAAACTCAAGATGGATTGAAGACCTAAAACCATAAAAACCCTAGAAGAAAACCTGGGCAGTACCATTCAAGACAGGCATGGGCAAAGACTTCATGACTAAAACACCGAAAGCAATGGTGACAAAAGCCAAAATAGACAAGTGGGATCTAACTAAACTAAAGAGCTTCTGCACAGCAAAAGAAACTATCATCAGAGTGAACAGGCAACCTACAGAATGGGAGAAATTTTTTGCAATCTATTCTTCTGACAAAGGGCTAATATCTACTATCTGCAAGGAACTTAAACAAATTTACAAGAAAAAAAAACCATCAAAAAGTGAGTGAAGAATAGTAACAGACACTTCTCAGAAGAAGACATTTATGCAGGTAAC